TCCTCCTAAGAAGGTTACCATGTCACCTTAAACATTTATTATCTCGAAACCCAATTTTTTTGCTAGTGAAAAGAGCATTTCATAGCTTCCTCGAAATTCTTGCTAAAAGCAACCGAGCTTTCCTGGTGAAAAATAGCGAATAACAACGCCGAGAGACATTCCTGTCAGGAGTGTTACTATAAGTAAACATGGACACAGCATTGGCTAAAACAAAATGCACCATCAAAATTCCTGTTTATATTTTTAACTAAAACAAATACATATTGGAATTCTGGTCTGATTACAATATCATTCCGAATGGAAACATCACCGTCGGCTAAAAAAAGAACGAATAAATTCATGAGCCGACTATGGTCCAGCATTTTCCTTTCATGCATCAACAATACATAGTTAAAGAATAAAGATAGTAAGGAGAGCAATCATTCCTCTTAGTTGAACTAATTAATGATGCTAAAAGGACCACCGTGCCAAATTGAAAATGTAAAAAGAAGTAAATAAGGTTCTGCTGTTATACCATGCCCAAAGAACAAAGGATTTCAATCATCATCTGAACCACTATCTTCAGACATCCTTCCAACATCATCAACTATTGCCGAGTCCTGTAAACAAATAGCAGAAAAAACTTGTTACCTAAAACAAATAGGTAAATGCATTCATTCTCTGCCTCCAGTTAAAATGCAAGAGTGATTCTAATGTAGCTGTCTGCCAGAGAAAGAGAGGGAATGTAAAATCAAAAGCATTAACATTCTTACCGCCATTTTATCCCAGTCCTTCAACTTAGGATTTGTTAGCATGTAATTATCACGCAATGGGGCCCAAGCAGGTCCTTCATCATTATTAGGATCAGATGATGTATTACCCTGCATGACATAAAACTTCATAAGCAATTACAGTAAAAATTTACAAAGAATCCAAATAAAAACTAAAAAGGCACTGAATGCAGTGTTGTCAAGGGCACCAGGTGCATTTTAGGCATTAGAACCCTTATATTGCCTCAAGCAAAAGGGGAAAACATGCTAGCTTGAGTGAAGTCAAGCACAATATAACATGCATTTTATTATTATTATTTGCTTATGGTTCTCTGAGTTGGAAATTCAAATATTGAGTAGAGAATTAAATACTATTCCTATCTTGCTAATAAAGGTCTATCTAATGAAGGAAAGGTGAAAAAGAAAAGAAATTAAAGAGAACTTCAATCATGAGGGCTTTTTTTATGCCTATCGCCCTACAAAAAAGCACACGTAGGTGCACCAAGTGTGCACCTGATGAAATGGGCCTCACCCAAAAGGACCAGGGACTCTTTTGTTGTCTAGTGCTAAGTGCTGGCATGCCTAGGCAGCAGGCGCACGCCTTGGAGACACTGATTCAATGTGAGGTTCCCAGCTAATTATGAGCAATTACCTAACTATGAGTGCTAACATGCACAAGATCATATACATATATGCTAAAGTTTAGTACATCAATTGTAACAACACCTAAAAGAGGCAAGGAAAAAAAAAGGAGGATGTTAGGGTGTGAAATAGCACAATGCCAGGAACTAGCAAAATAGTTGAGAAAACCTACCCTTGCTGGAAGAGTCGCGTGCAGGCAATGATGTCTTTCCTAGCTCTGAAAAGAAGGCTTCTTTCCTCCGTTTCCTTATCACTAGCAGGATGCATAACTATAAAGTCAGAAACTGAACTGGGAAAGTAGCACACCTTTAAGGGTTATACGATGCAAATGAAGTATTCCAATTTCTTTAGAAGTAGCATATGTTAAGTACCATGAAATTAACATTCACACGTGAAGAATCAACATCATATTCAGCCTCTAAACCTAGGGTTTTAAAGGCATAAATTTTTATGATAAAATCCATTTAATCTTTTCATTTGTACGGCATGGTAGAAAATAAAACAGAAAACATAGTTTCTAAAAGCACCAATGCCCAGGAACTGTTTGATCAGAACTTGCTGCACATATAGGAGAAGACGCAGTTTACTTCCATGAGTTACTAGAACTATTGACTATACTTTAACCACCCAAAGCTTTGAACGCAGTTTCTACAGCTTTTGAAAGGATAAAGTACTTACAATCATCAGATAAAGTGACAACATATACAAATGGCTTAGTGCATGCACTGCATACGTAAAAAAAAAGGGCTTTAGTGGATTCTGAGTAACAATGTATGAATGATTCTTTGGTGATAAATTGACATTAGTATACCATGTCTTTTTCACCAATCTGGTCAGAAAGATTAGACATAACTGTGAAAGTTGTTAAGCTTTGGATAGCGAGAAGCCAAGAACAAGCATTTCAAGTTATTCAAAATGTCAATGCCAAAAAGGCCATATTCGGAGCAAGATTTACTGGTAGTCACAAGTCACGATACTAATAAATATTTCATATAATCCATGAATTTGCTTTCAAATGTTAGATATAACTTTAGCCACAGATATAAGCATACCTTTTGCATCTTTAGACCTTGAAGGGTCCAATCCTTTCTGAGCCTTTTGTGCTTTGTTCACCTACAGGATACTGAAACAACAAAGCTTACACAGAGACTTGATAGAACTAACTAAGATCTAACAGATGAAACAAGAAACTCTGAGAAAGAGATCGGCCTTCGTTAAAAAAAAACTTACAGCATTGAATAACTTCACCACTGAAATCTCCAGAAACACAAAACAACGCAATAATTAGCATGAGAAAAAATAAGCAATGAATTAAGTTTTATATAACACTAGTGAAATATGGTCTAAAATGCATTACCTCCTTTCGTGGCAATACCAATTAGAAACTTTTCATGCGAATCCAAGTAATTCGCTGGCTTCACATGTCCCTTCTCTGCAACCTGTAACATTAATAGTGCATAGCATGAATAAAATAGCATAGCAAAAGCAAGGTCATAGTAACAGAATTTGCAAATTTTAAAGCAAGTACCAAATGTTTTTCTTTCTTAGCTTCTCCCCTAACTTTCCTTTCAGCTTCCTCTTCAGCTAACTTCTTTGCAATAAGTTGCTTATGCCCGGATAATACGGGACCCTATAACAACAATAAAAATCATTGAAAAAGAAATACAATTTTCCTTCTGAAAAAAAAAATCGATTTTAAAAACCAGCTTTACCAAGGAATCATTGGCAACGTTCTTCTTTATAATGTTCTTAAATGCCAACCTGAATGCCCTAACACCTTCTGTAAACTTCATAACCCCAGATTGAATTTCATCTCCTCCTTCTTGTTCTCCTTCAGAACCATCACTTCCTTCAGAAGAAATATCTCCGCCGCCGCCCCTCCGGGTATAATTAGGAGCTGCCTCCTCCGCCGTGTTTTCCTTTTCCTCCTCCTCGTCTTCGTCATCGGAATTGTAGTCACGGGCTCGTTTTTCAAACAGATTTCTCATTTTTTTACTTACTCGGAACTTTTTTCCTTTACCCTCCAACATCTTAAGCTTCTTATTCTTGGCTTTGTTACTTTTCTTTTTACCTGAATTTTTTCCTCTTCCCAGCTGCAACACTGCCTTCCTCCATTATCATCATCGGCTTCTCCCCTCCAACAGAAAAATACCCAAGAAAGAAAGATGGGGAAGGACGAGAAGATTACAAAACCCCCTTTTAAACCCTAATTATGCAGAGAAAACTCAGAACCAGAACACGGTCATTGTTTTTCTTTTTGGGATACTTTTTAACTTCTCTGTTTGGGCCCTTTTATTTATTTTTCTGTTCATTCTTTATTCGATTTTCCTGGGCCTTATCATTCTTAACCTTTCTCTCTTATATTTGTTTTTACTGAAAATAACTTAAAAAAATATTATTCTTATATATTTTTGAAAATTAACTTTTAGAACTATTTTAAAAAATGATTTCTACTCTCTATTTTATTAATTTTTAATTAAACAAAATGTAGGCCTATTTTTGAAATGTTATGTCTAGTGGTTAATACTTTTTATTTAGGGTAAAGTATATAAATGGTTCTCGATTATATGACGTTGTTTTGTTGAGTCACGACTATTAAAAGTTACAAAATGGTCATCTGACTATTCACATGTTCTAAACTTGTCTTGTTTCGTTAAAAAATTAACATCCATTTGAGCTAGAAGTTAATATGACTAAGATATGATAAAATCACATTTTAATGTTGTATACTGGCACTATCGATGCTTTCAAGCAATAGCTTTACAAAATAATGTAAAACGGATAATCGATCTATAAAATACAGGTCCAACGTTCTATGATTAAATTTTATCATATCCCAGTTAATATGTTTACGTCTAACTCGTACGATCGCTGATTATTTAACAAAAAAACGAGTTTGGAATATATTAATAATTGAGTGACCATTTTATAAATTTTAATAATTAGAGAACTCAATAAAATAATACTATATAGTCAGTGACCATTTTATAAATTTAATAGTTGTGACTCAATAAAATAGTACCCTAGATATCTTTTGTGTACTTTATCCTTCTACTAAATGTTATTTTATTTCATTTGTTATTAATATATTTTTTAAAATATTTAAATAAAACACAAGACCCAAGATTTTAAATTTTTATTTTCTTCCAAAAACTAAAATATCTCATCTGTTAAATTTCACTTTCGTAATTTTTTTGGTTTGTGATATGGACAGATAATTGCGGGATTGTGAAAGAGAACGATCACCGTTCTTTCATCACTGATCAATGCCTAATATTAAAGTCGGGTACTAATAACAACGGTTTGTCTAATAGGATGAAGTACTAGGTTCCTTAAGTAAGGTTAGGAGTTCGAATCCTGACGTTTGTGAATAGAGCAAACTGGGTTAGAAGAGTCGCCCTCATCTCTGCAATACTCGATCTGGATTTATCGATCAATTGGATACCAGTTATTAATTAAAAAAAGTCGGGTCCCAATCTAATATAAATGCAGAATTTGATTCTCTTTTATTTTTTAATCTCATCTAGCATATGATTTTTCTTAGTTTTAATTGTCCAATAAAATAATGACATAGTTACCATCTTATCGAAGATTATTAATTTATTAAAAAATAGTATGTGATAATACTAATGTGGAAAGAAAAAATGTGTAAAATCATATCAATAACGTTAAAAAATTTCTCATTAGTCGGTGATTAAAAAAACATAATGTACTGTAAGTGATGCTTTTGGCAATAACAAAAGTTTAGCGACTAAAATATAAAAACTTATGACACATATAACATAATAGGTCACTTAATTTAGTGTCATATTTTATGATAATATTGTACATTATACATATGTGCCTTCGAATTTTATTCTAACACTAATTATATGTTCATTGTAATATTTGATAGTATCCATTTTTAATAAAATTATCCGTTTTTATTTGCATACCATAACAATAATAATAATAATAATAATAATAATATAGGCGTTTTTCCTGAAAAATCACCGGTGATCGGTATATTTATCGATCTAACACCGATCAGATTATATTTCCCGATCTAACACCCGTAGCAGTAAAGCGCGCCTCCTGCCCCGCGCTATATGCTGATTTGGCGCCACGTGGGGTATAGCGCGCCCCCTGTACCGCGCTATACGCTGACATGGGTTACATGTGTATAGCGGCCCCCTGATCCGCGCTATACGCCACGTAGGGGTATAGCGCGGATCAGGGCTGCGCTATACCTGGTTATCTGACACGTGGGTATAGCGCGGTATAGGGGGCGCGCTATACCTTTAATTACCCACCCGTTCACACCCCAATCCTCCTAAATACCCACTCAATCACTTTCATCACACCAAATTCTCTCAAATTTCTAATTTCTCTCAAATACTCTCTGTTTAAGGTATATTTATAATATTTTTAATATTGTATTTAATTTATTTAAGTATTTTACTTTATTTAATATTTTACTAATATAATTTTTTTCAGATATATAATAGAAGACAGTCTACTTCGCTTGATGGAAATCATATATCTCGGCACTTTGCTGATACGGTAACATTTTAACGTTTTAATTTAATTTAAATTATTAGTAATAATTAGTTGATTTATTTAATGCATGATTATTAGATTAAGAATTAATTTTTGTAATTATTTATTTTTAGGAGAATAACTGTGTATTAGATCATTTTATTAGGAATCTTAATTTAGTGATACCTAATTGTGTCTTGCCGTATTTAGTAGAGGCTGGATTTGGTTACATAGGTAGATATCAGGGTCACTGTAAGATAGAACCAGACCTTATTTCTGCCTTAGTAGAGCGGTGGAGGCCGGAGACCCACACATTCCATCTTCCGTGCGGAGAGTGCACGATTACGCTTGAAGATATTTCTATACACCTAGGGCTTCCGGTGGATGGAGATGTGATATCTGGGATAGCTTTCGGTTCTTGGACTACTTTGTACCGGGATAATCTAGGACATGTCCCGGAAAGTTTTATCGGAGGTATGATACCGTTAAATTAGTTAGATGTCAATTTTCGGGAGTTGAGCGCAGACGCCTCTGAGGATGAGGTTAAGAGTATGCACGGGCATGCATATTGTAGTTGATAGGAGGGTTACTGATGCCGGACAAATCGCGCAACCTGGTTCACTGCATGTGGTTGCGACATCTTAGCGACTTTCGTCTCGTCGGATCATTCAGTTGGGGCTCGGCGGTTTTGGCTTTGCTGTATAGGGAGATGTGTGGGCCCACTGACTACAGGCGTAATGCTATCGGTGGATCTGCTGTCTTGGGCATGGTATCGATTGCCCTTTTTGTCCCGTTGTGAAGATTCGTATTTCAACTACTTCTGAGGTAATTATAAAATTGATTTTGTATATTAATATTTTATACAACGTATAATAAATTTTTTTCCTTGAATAGGTGGTCTACTGATAGGAAAAATCATCAGGAACTACCTGATGATTTAGAAACAAATAGGGTGCTAATCGATCAGAAGGCTGGTACACAGGTATGAATTTTAATGTTTAAAAATCGATTTTAGATTATAGTTATATAATTGATTATTATTTGATAAAAAATTATATTTATTTGTTTTAGTTTGAATGGGTGGCATATTCTACTGATGTGTGGGCGGCGATCCCCCTGAGTTGAGGGGTCCATCAGATGTTTGGATGGCGATGGTCCCTCTGATCTGTTATGCGGCCGTCGAGTGGCACTCAACTGATCGCGTGCTTTGGCAGTTTGGTTGTTTTCAACCAATTCTGGAAGCACCTCGCAATATGGACGAGTTGCATAGCTTAGATAGACGCGGCAAGACAAATACAGATTGGCTGGTGAGGCATCATGAGTGGGTCTTGTTGTGGGAGGATCAACATCGGCGCCTTGCCCGTAAAGAGCCCATTTTTACTGACTTCTTGATTATGCTGACGATTATTATGAGTGGTTCAACAGTAACGGGAAATCGTTTCTACTTCCCGAAGATGCACGAGGGCATACCTTTCCGCGACGTCGATAGAGACGTGATCCGACACAGCACCATCGTCCCCCGACTCGTGAACGGAGACAGGTGCTTCCGGTTCATCCTCAGCTACACCAGCAGGACCTTCACAACAGCACCGTAGCCATTTATGATGCCGCAGCCATATATGATGCCGCCATCGCCTTTCCATTACCAGATGCTGTCGCCGTCGCCCTCACCTGGTTTTATGACCCCGCCGCCGCCACCGTCACAGATTACCCCCTGGAGGCTATTATGGGTCTATGTTTACAGATCCGATATGGGGTTTATATGATGGATATTTGACGGGTTCATCCTCATCACCCATGGTTGCAGCACATACACCTCCTGTATAATTTTCACACTCAGCGATGTCTGGGTTTTCCCAATTTTCGCAGGCCGGTGGGATAGTCAGTCATACACCTCCAGGGTCCTTATTCTATTGAGGTGCTTCATCGTCATCAGCTCCTCACCAACCTAATGTATCTGCTCAGGACGACGACAACGACGACAACGACGATGATGGTGATGATGGTGACAGCGAGGATCAGAACCAGTGATACGAAGAAATCCTCCTCGAGACTGACAGCCACCGCCTTGCGGAACACATTCGCGTCGCAGGCATCGATAGATTTTTTTATTATATTTGTATTTACTTTATTTTTTTAAATTGTAATTTTTTATTATTTCTCATTTAATACTTACTTTATTTTGTTAAATTTGTTGGACTTTTTTTAATGTATTTCAGTTAATTTTGTTTATTACCATTTAATATCAGTTATTGTAATTTGGTTATCATTTAATACTTATTGTAAGTTTGTTGTATTTAAAATTATATTCAAATACTAATTGGTTATCATTAACTTGAAGTAAATGCAAATTAAAGTACAAGAATTATTATTTGATAAACAATACATCATTTCCTCATCAATTGTTACTTGATGACATAGAGTGGACAAGTTTTTCTCGTGTGTCCTGGGTTTCTACAATGCCCACATCTTTTGTCTTGTCTAGATCTTTCTCAAATATTTATATCGCAATGAATTGATTGGATTTTGGACGACCACTCCCTCAATAAACTCGGATTTGGTACAATCGGAAGCCAATCTTGAACCTCATCAGGGTCTTTGTCATTACCTATGGGGGAAACTCAAATTCATATACCTTAAAAACTTCAGATAGTAGGTATATGGTATCCACAAAATGGTTATAGTCTTGACGTGTGTGCGAGCAAGCTGTTATCACATGAGAGCATGGATACTTCAGAGCTTGAAAAAACCCACAGTCGCACGTTCTGTCCCTTAGATTTACTCTTAACGACACAACTTCAATCCCTTGAAGAGGTCGCGATAACTCTGTGACACGAAACATTTCATGCCTTCTAGAGAAGCTTGTTACAGACATTCCATTTGATACAGCAATTTTTTTCTGTAGATCTGCAACTAATCTAGGGTGATAGACATGACCGCCTTGCATCCAGGTTTGAGCTTGTTCCCCGAGCTTCGCAAAAAGCGCCCCAAACGAAAATATGTAGTTTTTACCAGGTTAAATTGATTGCCTCAGCCAAGTTGGTTGTCATGTGTCATATCGATATCCACCATCATATGCGTTCGTCCATATTTCTTTATCAATGAGGCTGATGTAATCGTATCCTTTCTCGTTCTTCGCCCGTAAATCTTGAAGCATTGATTCAAACGTTCGAGGAAGTAGTTCGTAACCTGATCAAAAAATGTATAACTTACTAACTTGCTTTCTTTGCAAAATTAAAATGATAAAAATATATATTAACTTACTAAATTGCTTTCACTTACCCATGCACACAATTAATTGACGCTCATCATTCTTCTTGTACATTCCATAATAGTTGCAACAATGTGTCGGAGATAATACCTATGTTGGACAAAGGTGGTTGCTATATTGGACCCAAATACTCCATTGCTGCTTTGATCCCAGCTCCGCGATCTGAAATGACATAGATGTTTTCCCTCGTGATAACATGTGCACGTAAATTTCGGAGGAAAAAAGCCCAAGAATCTGTATCTTCTCCTTCGATAAGAGCAAAAGCAACTGGAAGAATGTTGCGATTGCCATCTAAGACAACTGCCAATAATAAAACTTGATTGTATTTTCCATACAAGAAAGTCCCGTCGATGTGGACCACAGGCTTGCAGTATTTGGCAGCATTAACGCACTGTGGGTAACTCCAAAAAACCCGATAGAATTGGTTTCGATCGCGAAGAACTCGATCATTATGGTATGCATAGGAGGTTTCGAAGTCCACAATTATCCCAGGATTCAACGTATGCAGCAGCCTAAACCAACCTGGAAGTTCATTGTAAGATGCATCTATTCGTCATGAAGTTTGACAATGGCATTTTGTTTTGCCAACCAAGCTTTTTTATGGGAGACAGTGTACCCATACTGCGATTGTATAGCTGAAATAAACACTGCAACAACTATATGAGAGCTTGCTTTTACCATGGGCATGATGGCTTGGCATATCATTTCAGAGTCCAAGTTGGGATGATCTTGGTTGACCCCTCCAGTACAACATGTGTGAAGACCGTTGTATACTGTTAGTTCCCATATGTTGTTTTTCCTCTTCATTTTCGATACGTGAACCATCCAATTGCATCCGTTTTCACGTCGAGAACAATAGCATACATATTTTTTGGTCGTCGATCGGTTGACTCTGGACTGAACAGAATTACGGATATTGTAATTTTTTATAGCCATCATCGCTTCTTCTTTGCTTGAAAACTCCATGCCTAAAGATAACTCACCATTATTTATTGATGAGTAATATCCATAGTCATCGAGATAAGGTATATCCACAAATTTTGGCCCGTACATTGCACCATAATCAGCTTCATACATGTGTGCAGGAGGGTCAGTTTGTGTCACATTTCCTAGAACTTCATCTACATCATCATTATCAGAGTTGAATTGCGGTGATTCTAGGTGAATAAATACTCCAGTCTCAGCACCATCGCACTAGGCTCACCAAGCGGTTGTTCTGGTGGAGATGATGGTTCCTCCATGCGCTCCACATTTAGGTCGAAGAACCTACTACTTGCATGTCTTCCCCTTGAACTAGAAGGCATATCGACATTGAGATCGAAAAAGCTCGCAGTCGAATGCCTCCCCCTGGAGCTTGAAACCATCGTGTCAAATGAAAACTGCACAGATTATTGCGTCGATAACATCTCCATATTAAGGTCAAAGAAATTTACAGATGAATGTCTTCCCCTTGAACTTGACGCGGTGTTGCATACGGATTGTTCGTGGACCCACCTCAATACATATCGTAAGGAGTTGCTGATGAATGTCTCCCCATTATGGCATTAAAATCATTACACATTACTGTAGTCGGGCTATCAACTTGATCAACTTGTTCAACCAGCCCATAGTGGGAGCTTAATGATTGACCCCGAACAGCACGCACTTGAACAAAATATGCATACATCTCAATATCGGCGTCTAAATAATTACTTTGTGCTTCAACCATCATTTGAACATCATCATTGTTCGAAGTTCGAACGCTGTATAAGTTAATGGCAACAATGATGCTGGAAATCTGTACTGCAACGACGACATTCTTCTACTACTTCCAACATGAATCTTCCTCGAAATCTTCGTTATCAGCTCCTCAAGAGTTATGTTTCTCTTGAATGATATTTTAACACGCTCATTTGATACGAAAACAACGCCGGTTTCATCTTTTCGAATTTCACCATCATAATAAACAATAGTTGAAAGTCGCGCCATTCTTTTAGTTTAAAAGTACGACAATATTATATCTGCAAAAAAAATAACTGAAACAAACATGATTAAATAAATTATATATGAACGAAAAGATAACACAATAAATTTTTTACACATCAACGTAAATAATTTAAATAATATAATATTATATTATTATCTGCACCGCAAAACTATTTCGACGTATGCTTCCGCTTTTCAATTTTACAAACATAAAAACTAATTAAAAATAATTAGTATAATATTTTTTCAAATAATGATAATAAACAATAAGTATAATTAAAAAATTATAACAAAATTACCTTATAACGAAAAATCGCACGAACTTTTAAATCAAATATGAGAAGATTGTATGAATTATTACTCGTTGACGGAATTGTTGTATTAATTTATATGTTGAAAGGAGTGATGCAAGGAGATGTGAGAAACTTAACCGGCGGAGGAGGGTATTTATAACCATATAAGGCACCGTACCTGCACCGCGCTATATGTAATTATTCATAAAAGATATAGCGCAAACCAGGACCGCGTTAAATATAATTCCGGTACGGCGTATAGCGCGGCCCCTGATCCGTGCTATACCCCATACGTGGCGTATAGCGCGATCAGGGGGCGCGCTATACACACGTGTAACCCATGTCAGTGTATAGTGTGGTACAGAGGGCGCGCTATACCTCATGTGGCGCCAAATCAGCATATAGCGCGGGGTAGGGGACGCGCTTTACTGCTACTGGTGTTAAATTGGGAAATATAATCTGACCGGTGTTAGATCGGTAAATACACCGATCACCGTGATTTTTCGGGAAAAACACCAATAATATATTTAGTTGTTAAACTATAAAATTGGTTTCTATTTTGATCATTGTACAATTTTTCTTATCAAATTGGTCACTAATGTTTGGTTTGAGTGTCGACCGTTGTTGTTAAATCAACTTTAACCACTAGCGAAAATATCATCGGATATCGTGTTTAATTGAGATAAGATCTAATTTATTTAGTCTTAGTTTTAGATAATTCAACGAAATCATTATCTAAATTTACAAAATTTATTAATTTGATCCAAAAAAAATCCCTACATCGTTCATGATCCTCATTTTTAATTGATATAATAATAATTCCAATCCTCCGTATTTACACATTAAACCAATATAGTCCCAATTTCTTTTGATAACCTCTCTCAAATCTTAATCCTTTCCTGCTATTTATCAAGAACAAATAAAGAAAACTTTCACAAACCCACATTCTCTTTCATTCTACCTTCTCTACTCAATTAGAACTATTATTATTCTAATCAAAAGTAAGACACATCATCATTTCTGTTAGTAGTCAAAATTTATTTAACGGCCAATGATTTGATCCACGCCAAAATCAAATATTAGTGATTTAATAAATAATTTTTTATTCGATAATTAAAATATAGTCAATCTTACAGTTTAGTGATTTAATAAACAAGTTGTATTTTAAACGATAAACTACATGTTTAGTACCTCAACTATTACTTTTATTTCATTTTGATACCTAAATTTTATTTTAATTTTCAAAATCACACCTATCGTTTAGTTTAGTCTTCAATTTGGTATTCGACTGTTAAAAATTTAACGGCACTGCTGATGCAATATTTTTTTATTATTTTCAATAATGATGTGACGTTACTTTATGGTGACACGGTAATATCACCGTTAAGTTTTTACCAACGAGATACCTATGGATGGATGGGGGGCAATCACCCCCTAAAATTTTCAAATCCTTTATATTTTGTGTATTTTCTTTTGATAATTTGTTTTCGCTCACCCTACAACTTTATAAGTATGATCCCCTCTAAAATTGTATATGTTCACCCCAACATAAAATTCTACATCCGTCCTTGAGGTACCAAAATGAAACCTAAACTAAACGTTAGGTATGATTTTAAAAAATAAAGTTTGAGTGCTAAAATAGAACAAAAGTAATAATTTAAGTATTAAACGTAGTTTACCCTAATTATTATTTTTATTACATATGGATATTTTGGCAATAAAATATTTGTAACGCCCCCAATCAGTACTCGACCCGGATACGAATCTTAGGTGTCACATGGACATTTCAAAATCGTTACACTTAAAAAATCATATAAAATTTAAACTTTCATTAACTTAAAGTTAACAATTTACATAAGTATGTTCAAAATGTTATAAAATCGATCAGAGCATACATACTTCACGACTTTGTTTACATGCCAACATATCTATTACATAGAAAAACATACTGTGCAAAGTACTTCTAATCTAATCTTCGAGTGGAGGTATGTTGTTCTGCAGATCCTAGGTCTGATCCTCGTGTTTCTTAGTACCTACGTGTAAAACACTTACACGCTAATTCATAGACTTAGTGAGACATAAAAATATAATAATGCATTTCCTAAAATTATGAACATGCAACCTAATTATTTCAAATACAATCATAACTATTATAGCATTATTCAATATGTCACATATGATCCATCTTAACAACAACACATAATAACATAAACATTTTTTATATCTTTTATAGGCCATGTACATTACTGAGAATTTAAGGTATGTGAGTACGTTGACGTTGTGTACATATGTTGTCACCACAGCTCGTATAAGGTCCATTGAGTGGCATGTGAAATTTGTCCCGAAGGACCTCATGTATGTCCCGAATGACCTCTTATATGTCCCGAATGACCTCATATAACCCTCGACTCTTGGCATGCCAACTATACCTATAGCTCTCATATCACATCACATGGGCTTAAATATTATATGTTCCATATAATCACTAATTCATCATATATTTATGTATTCATATCATTTCTCTTATAATCACATATGTCTTATCTCATACCACTTATCATGTGTACATATATCCATCAATCTCATATCATATAGCTTATGTTCACATGGATCATCATATAACATGTATCAAAATAATAGTAACATATAACACTTATGCATGTGTTTATAATGATCATAATATATATATATATATATATGCATATATATATGCATGTTCATAATTATTGGACCATGAAAGTTAAACATAGAAATAGACTTATCACAAGTCTTATTTCCATAAAACAACATCTATATTATAATATGCACTCACCTTGGCCTCACTGAATCAAATTCAACTTCTATGACTTATCCCTCTTAATCGAGTCTAACTCTTCAATCGTTCTGGAACTTGCTTATGCTCAATATCTACACAATCATATGTGAATATTCATATCAAAATTCTAAGGATCATAATTCGATTCTTAATAACTAAAACTAACAAAAAGACTTTATACAATTTTCCAATTTGAGTAGTATCAGTACCCACTGTATGGTACCGATACTTCCCTAGACATGGTATCGATACCAAGACTGAGTATCGA